AAGTTTAGATTTTATTGGTTTTAAGGATAAAATTAACTGTTAGCTTGAGAACAAGCTTGAAGTAGGGACGAGAGGAAGGTGTGGTATATGAATATACCATGCATTTTTGTCTTCTTGTAGGAGAGAGAGAGAGAAAGTGCATAACATTATGTTATAATGATGTACTAAATATCACTATTGATGTTTTCAGTGAAGTAGTTGATAACAGAAATTTGCAGAAGACATTCATAATAATTAAATTTAAAGTACACATAGGCATTTAAGTTTCATCCTAGGCCCAATAACTGGATGTGGCCTGATGGTTAGCATTCTGGGTTGTAAATTGAAATATCTTGCTGAACATACTCAATACTTTCAGCTGAGGGGTGTTACAACTGTGACAGGATATCCAATTACTTGGTTAAGAGTAGCATAGGTGGAGGGTGTGCTTTTCAGTTGCTCTTTAGTCAGAAGCTTTAAAATGGGGATGGCTATGCTTGATCCTTTGTATCTCTAGCCTGGCCAATTATCTTATGTCCACATATGCTTATCATCTGAATAATTCAAAATAATTAATTGATTGCATCAATATTACATATTCTTGAAATCTTAAATAAATATAGGATCCTTGTGGTGAGTAGAACACATCTCAAAATACCATAGATATAATATACACTCCACCACTATCTGAAACTAAGTTTTATTCTTTTGGATTGTTTGTGGCCAGAATCATTGATGAGGAGTTGGATTTCTCGAAACTGGTATAACTAGTAAATTCGATGATAGGTGGCTTTACGTTTATTTTAAATATAATAATGAAGTATGTTTTCTATCCCCTTGTATTTATATAGAAAATTTTAACAATGCTCATTTATTTAGGTGTACGTTTGATTCTCAAGTAGCATGTTTGCCGAGAAAGTCATAAAGTTATTTTTTTTCTAACTACCTATCGTTCTTTTTCATTCACTTATGGTAATGCCTTGTCTATCTATGAGAAAGATGACTCGCCACAAAAGGTGCTATGATAAGGTAGTTAAGAAATGAAAGTACCAGTGTGGTATTCTCAGATAAATTGATTTTCATGCAATTACCAGATAGAACTGCTTAGTAACGAGAGGGTCTAACAAAAAATTTGCAGAATAATCTAAATCTGAAAACGTGAGCGAATTGAAGTTTTGTGAGAAATAAAGAGATTAGACATATTTGATGGATAATGAAAACATGCTTTATTTAAACATGATAAAAACAGTATGTGTACCTGTGTAGACAAGTGGACAATCACCTATATCAGGTCACTAAATAAATAATAAGCTTTCCATCCCTCAAGAAGAATCTCTGCTGAACTAATCCCAATTAAAGCCAAGTATAACTGAAAAAGAATAGATGCTTTGATCATACAAGAAAACTCGTATGCTTTCTTTTGTATGGACGTCATCACGTGTCTGATCAGTCTCCCACAGCATTTGTTGGCTGTGACATACAGACATCTTCCACTGAGCCAGCAAAGCCCTTTCAACATGGATGTATCACAACATCCTCTCAGGCAACTTAGGTATTATTTGCTATATAGAACAAAGACACAAAGGTTACTAAAACATGGTAACTTAAATAGTTTTCTGGACCATTCATTTATGTCAAAACTACATAGAAACGAACCAAACGATTTTTTTAAATGCCTATATTGATAAAAGGAGGTAGAAAACATACGCTATGCTTGCATATTACACTATCATGCAAACGGGGTGTGGCTTTCATACGTGCCAATGGCATGGAAAAAGATCAGCTTGGCTCAACAGGTCTTTATCTTGTACTCTGACTGATAAGTTCATTGGTTATAATGAGTGAGAGATGTGCAAAAGCACATAGAACACGTCGATAAGCTATGTCCAGACATTAGTGAGAGACTTCTTATGCACTAGCTTGACCTGGAGCCAGAGGACAAGACTGACTACTCAGAGAAGGATGAGAATGCTGCCTCATGTCACCTCGACTCAACCAATGAGGAGGATAGAGGTGAAAGTGTTTATCTGGCTGTTAACAATGCTTCAGGTGAGGAAGCACTGGATCTCAAGACGAGAACCAGCTCTGACAGTTAGCCAAGCTACCACTGATTAATACAGTTGAGATTAACAACGATTATCAGCAGTTAAGGTGGATTATGCCAGTAGATGTAATGCCTACGACATCAATAGTTTGCACAACTGAAGATTCTAGCCAAGAGTTCAAAAGTTTAGCTGAAAGGGCATTGCAACCCTTGCTTTCTGAGCTATTGGGTGGTATTGTGATATAATGTAGGCTCTACATTATGTGATCATCACTCAATTATCAGCAGTTAGAATAGTTTGTTGATCATGAGATTAACTGGGTCGAAAGGACTTTGCATCCCTTACTTCCTGAGCTATTTAGCAGAGCTTCACTTCATGAAATATCTACAGGATATCAGATGATAGCTACTCTATATACACAGTTTAGAATGATTGGTACAAAATAGATGTAAAATATCTAGATCATCATCTACTTGCACAACTGAGAATGATGGCTAGGTGTTCGAAAACTCAGCTAAAAGGGCATTGTGACATTTACTTTATACTTTATCGAGTGATTTTATGTGGCACATTGCCATTGATAATCACTCACCTGTTCTACTGTTCCATTTGGATATGATGGAATATTTTCAACCATGCGGATTGAAATATTTTGCAATCAAACAGTTTTCTAAATGTTTTCTTATTAGTGAAATGGAGATCCAATTAAGTCTATGGGACAATGACATCCATGTATGTTAAACGCATGCTCTAAAAGTGATATATATGTAGATTTATCGAAATGTCATTTGACCTAAGTAACCATTTTTCACATTCTGTCTCTAAAAATAATTCTAGAATAGAGAATGTTGTAATCGAGTAGTTACAGCATTTACATTTGCAACATCTGATGTAAAGGATCTTATCGTGTCACTCATCGGGTTAGCTCCGAAGTCCCTCAGGGCTGGGCAGCCCCCGTCTGCTGCAAACCCTCCACCAAAGATTAAGCCTTTGTTGGACATACTTTGCGCAGTGGAGAAACCATCACTCTCTGCCACACTAGCTGATAAAGTTTGAAGGCAGCTCAAATCCAGGATGACACTGTCAACCCTAACTCCAGTAAAACTGGAGCCGGAATAGTCATCTAAGGACCAGATCCTATTCCTGGGATGTTTTATTAGAGGGGGCTTCAAGTGTCCTATGTACCCAAGTTTAAAAAAAAGCTTTTCCGGAGCTGAAGTTGCCCCGACGGTCAGTCGCTGAGCCGCTGAGGGGCAGAAAGTGGAAGTAGGAGTTATAGACTGGGAGAAAATTGATCAACATGTCTGAATTCAAAATACAATTTTTAACCTACGAATGATAAGTTTGGAAACGACTCAAAGTATTGTTCTTGGTCTTGTAAGTTTCCACATGTGCATGTATATAAATATATTTAATGATACAGACCTTAATATCCTTCTTTTTATAAACACATTCGTTTACTAGGCTTAAATATAACTTTTTAGCGTTTACCAACCGTGTTTTTAAGACAGAATTTCATAACAGCTATAAAAATCTTTCAGATTCAAAACTTTCTTCCTTGTAGGTCCGAAAATATTTCATTGTTACATATTTAATAATTTTTTTACAAGAAAAACTGCACTTACGTCAAGTTACTTTGGATTTTTTTTTACTTATTAATATATAACGATCTGCATTTAGAAAACAAAACAAACTATCTTTTCGATAACCTGATCTATTTATTGTTAAAAAAGTCAACAAGAAGAGTAGAGCTCGGAGAATGGATCTATAGAAAACGAATAACAAGCCTATCGCTTACGTTGAACTATAGTAAATTCTTGTTAATTATACCATTATCCGAAAAAAAAAAGTTAATCATTTTTTGAAAAATCTTTGGTAACTTTCGATTCAAACACCAATAGCTACAATATTTGTCCAACTTTCAAGACAACAAAAATTCTAACTATACATGATTAAGGTGTTTATAAAAATAATCTGCTTATGCCAGTGAGCAGTTTTAAAAAAAAAAAAAAAAATATAGTTTATTGTCTTTTTTGTCTGGTCGTAGGAGCATCTAAAAAGGTAAATAACTTTCACTGTATCGATATAAAAGTAAATTTAAGTACCTCATTTGTCCCGTAGGTGTTTTAAAAAAATCTGGGTACCATATCAAACATTTGTTTTTACATATAAGAAAAAACTAAATGTCGCATAATTAGGGACGACTTTAGCAAATTCAGACTAAGAAAAAAGAACAGTTTGATAACATAAGAAATAATTCTTTTAGCATGACTTCCTTATCAAATACATAATACAGTCAATATAATTATGTGAATAATAAACTGAGATTTGCACCTATACTATAGTTATACTGAATACTGTGGTAAAAATCTACAATATCAGAAGAAACTAAACCAAGGTTTTGTCCTACACTCTTTGATGATTTGTTACCAAAATCTTTAGTGTATTTCATATTACTGCTTACTTTGGAAGCAAAAGATTAAAAGATAATGTCGAGTAAACTATTTCAAGGCTTGGTAATTTCATTTACACAAATACCTCTCACAATGGATCAATCTGAATTTTTGAGGTAATTCAATAACCACCGAAAATCAGTTCTTTTTTCTCTCTCTTCTTCAGTTTTTTTTAAACATTTGTCAAATTTAGGTTAAATATAGAAATTTACTATCTATCTACGTTTTTTTTAAAGACAGAATGGCATAAAAAAGTTACATGATTAAGATGGTTCCTAATACAAGCAGGCAGTGTTGACATGTGTATTTGGTTAATTAAAAACATGACATTTTGATTTTTAGAATTCTTATTAATCATATTCTTTATTTCAACTCTGGTTAATAGAACACCACTTTTCCCTTCCCTTACTTACATTTTAATTGCCAAGTAATGTCTGAGCACTCAGCAGACGTAATCGTCAGCTATTGATTGCTTCGCCTGACGCAATTTGCTTCGGCTGTTCACCTAAAATATGCCATATTACTCCGCTGTTGCTTAGCTACGACATATTTGGTTCGTAGTAAAGTGTTTGCGAACGTAGAAGATCTTTAATATTTAGGTAAATTTATACTAAATATAAATGGAACTTGAAACAAAATTTCCTATCTAAAATGTGCCGAGAATAATTTCTGTTACAAGTGACAAATTTCTGATAACTTTACTTGGTATTGTCAGGAAACTAATACTATTATATGATAAATGAATGTCACAATCTTGTGCCTACTTCATCTTGACTGATACACTACTCAGGCACGTGCAATATCTCTTTATTGTTCTTTACGGAAGATATCAGGCATCAAGCTGTAAGTACACAGATAAATTCATAGTTTCATCTTTTTCTTTCAATTTCGAATTGTAGTTATTAGTCATAAAATAGTAATTTGCCAATACCTTATACTTTATAGTTCAAAGAGTGTGCAGAACCAAATACGTTTTAAAATTTCGTTTTCTTTACATAATACTAGGTTTCTTCTAATTATCGTAAAAACCGAACTAATGATATTTTCTTTTGGCTAAGTACAACACTTATTTTACCATTATACTTTACAGTTGACATTTGTATGTAGAATGAGCATCAATATGGATTTTAGTCATACATTCATTTTCAATATGATTTCTGCATGTTCAACAAAAAAGTAGTCTGTCCTTGAAAAACAATAAGTAGCACTATTGAATTATTAAAGATTTTTAATTATGTAGCTTATCACTTTTTTTCAATATAGTTAGCCTTAAATCAGCCATTATATAAATATATTTTCATTTTATATTATGTATTCTGCTTAGTTATAGTGTAAATTAACCGCTGTAGTCTACATATGCATCGCAAACGATAATCTTAAACTGATGTCAATTATGTCAGTTAATATTCAAAACGCCATCTTTACCATTTGACCACACACATTGCACAGACTGCGCGGTAGCTGAGTATGACAGCTTCAGTAGTAACTGGCTGATGTCGAGAGTATGACAGCTTCAGTAGTAACTCGCTGATGTCGAATCTGCTGCTATAGATGGATTTTATTAGAAGTGATGCTCTGGCAACCACTGTTAGGCCTTTCACGTTTGTCATTGGATTTGATTTCATGTTGACGACCAACAATGCTTGTCTCCATCGTGGGCGTATATTCATTGCCTGCTTTGGACAGGAAACTATTAAAGAACGGATTGACCAGCTGCTTCTCCGAATTTCAACCCAAAAACACATTTCAGATCAGTTTCAAGAAAAGATTACTTGTCATAACCAAACACATGGGATTGAATAGGAAAGAATATCGTATATTTTACCCACCAAACACACTGAATCAAATAAGAAACACCTTGGAGAGAAAACGGTACCATCCAGATAGATTCTCATACATAGTATTAACTTATGTACTGAAATTAAGTTATGAGATTGACAAACATACTACTAAGATGGACACAAACATTGAGAGAATCTGATTTTTACATACCTAAGCCATTGTGACGTTGTAGATACTCCAAACTACGATGCCAGTTAGTTGTCGTTCACAGCTTTGTGTGTCATGATTTGACGTTAAGAAAACAATAAACTTAATAGCTTACGAGCAAAACCTTTTGCTTCGTACAAAACGTAATGACTTGATACAGTAATCCAACTGCAGAACAGAATCTTAGGATAGACGTACAGGACACAGAGATAGCTATGCATACATACCGATTAATCTTGATGTGGGCAGTGCGGAACAATGTTTTTTCTTCTTTCTTAATCATAGGTATATTAAAAACGATAAATGGTTTAGGACCTCTACACCGAGATGTTTCCAAACCAATAATGGCCATTAAAATCGATTTATTCAAGATTTCCTTAATTGGAAACATATACTGATATATTTTAAAGTTATATATATATATAGCTAAATGTTTATGACTTCTCTTCCTGTGCACTGGAAATATCAACAGAGTTTCTTAATTTGTTCACAACGTTTTCCTTAACAAAATTGACTTGATGATTGTTCGACGTTCAACTCGGTATAGATTATCAATGTATCAGTAAGTATTTTATTATTACTAGTATTTCAGATTTTAGGACTAAAAAGTTGGGTTTAGTCATTTACACTGTTATTTATATTTTCCTTAAAAGCCTTAACTCGCTTTTTCTATGAAACAGATAATCGTGTCAATAATCTAATTATGTATGACGTCACCAGATATGCTGTATCACCACTCTGGTGCTAAATATTTGCTCTTAATCGACCTTTTGAGCTGCAGTCAGTTTTATTCATTCGTTTTCTTTTTTCTTTTTTTTTTGGTGAATGAAGTAAAATATACTTAACAACGAAAGCAAGATTTTATGTTTTAAAATGGGATTCGTTTATGCGAATTACATGAGGCTTTTATTGTAAATTGTTTCTGTAACAACTGGTAGTAAAACGTGATTGTTCACTCAAACAACAAACATCTATTTTTCTGCCTGTGTTTGTTTATCTATCTGTTTGTGTGTCTATTTATGTGTCTGTCTCTCTACCTGTCTATTTACCTGAAACTAAACGGTTAGGCAGAGCATCGTATTCATGTCTCCCCCTTTCCCCAGTGGCACAGCGGCATGTCTGCGGACTTATAATGCTAGGAACCACGTTTCGATAACAGTGGTGGACACGGCATAGATAGCCCATTGTGTAACTTTTTGCTTAACTACAAACAAATAAATACCAACATGATGACCAAAGTACGTCGACCGCTTATCAACAAACTGCAGCTTAGAAGATAACAGAAACTTTAAGTTGTTCTCGTAGTTCAAAAATATAAATTAGCATCAACTTGCTGATTGTTTGTTTTCTTTCTATGGATAGTTGTAAAATTACTCTTTAAACGCATCTGTACGTTAAACAGATGTACTGCTTATACAATATTGTATAGAATTATACATATATTAATATATATATAAGAACATCATAAAACCAATGAATGCTTAATGCGAAACCATAATTAATGCTTTTGTCACTGAAACCAAAACTAACAAAATAATTGGTCAATCATAGTCTATTATATTATTATACGACCTACTTCGAGGGAACTTTTCATAAAAATATTTAATGCTATATCAAAAGTAAATAAAAGTTATTTTTAGTAAACTTTCCATCGACGTACTTCAACTATATTAAACTTACAATATTTAGATAAACAAAAATATTACTAACAAACACATGCATACTGATTGCACTAGAAACCCGACAGTTAATAAAAAGCTGTTCTTGTCATCTTCTGTTCTGCTTTTATTGTAATTGTGCTTTATCCTAAACTTAGAATATTTTAATTGCTATTTACTAAAGTTCAACGCTTATACAAAATGGGGCTCAATTTTTAAATTATGCCTACTCTGTCAGTCAATACAATGGTCATAAAGTTTCGTTTATCTTCTTATACCAGTAAATACTGGCCCATATCAAGCATAAGCACGAAGATCTAACGGCTGAAAAGTTAATAAAAAACTAGTGAAGTTAGGGGTGTGTCGATGGTAGATGTATGGAATTTGTTAGCCAAAGTACAAAGCGTCTGATCAAGGCAGTTGTATGTAGTTGTTCTGCGTTATGGTTAATCTGCCTCTACCAGCTACCACAGGCAGTCACAGCTCAGGAGTCGTAGATGTGACTCCTGGCGACTCGAAATGACGTCCCTATATGTACGTGAAGGAAATCTGCATTGGAATGCTCAATCTGGACAGCACCTTATGCGTAAGTTGGTTAAACGGCCACTCTAGAGTTCAAGTATAGCAGTCCGTAATTTTGAATTACCAGCCAAAGGGAAAAAAGCCAGCAGCATGGGCGTCGCCAGGATATTTTTTAGTAGGGGTTCAAATTCGATGACGAGGAA